GAAATATCATTTAAGCATTATCATATAATTAATTTCTTTAGTACATATAAAAAAAGTGAAAATACCACGTTGGCTTGCACTTTCAAAATATGTAATTCTGTTCCACTTCCACTAAGAAGAGGATGGATTTTACATGCTTAGTGACATTCCTAACTTCTTTAATTATAAATATAAAACTTATCGAATTTTTTATATAGTTGTGCTTATGCTTATATGACAGTCTCAGTTTAACACTAAATCTTTTTAATACATGACGCTTTCATATTTTTTATTCTAATATTACAATTGAAAAAAGCGGCAGTGATTGGGATACTGGCAATAATTGGAACAGTTACCCTATTTTATCCTATTTAGACATTGAAGAATGATTGTTGGTCAGTAGTGTTCACTGCATTTTTATAAAAGCTAAAGAGTGACCCTAAAAATCGTTTTTTGGACCCTCGATTTTGGAACTAAACTGTATGCCAAATGGTACCCTATAATGAAACATTAATCACAGAGGAGTTTCGAGTTGAGGTGACAATTGTCATCAGAGTTGGAGGAGAGAAGTGGAATCAAAGTTTATTACACTGATCGACATGCTAAAAGTTTCCTGCAAAAGGAGAATGGTTTCCCGTAGATTTTGGAGCATTGAAAACTATGCTGCCCTCAGATTGTGTAAAACAATTAAAATAATAATAAAAATAAAACATTGTCAACAATATCTATTTCGCTAATATTATTATACGTAATCATTATTAATCTTTATATGTCAGTAAATATTTAAAAAATGACAAAATAAAAGTTATAAGGCTCTCATTTAACTCAAGTAGCAACAGCAGAAAATGAAATATGAGTATATTTATTTACTATTATATCTTTAAAAAATGATAAATAAAATACAATCTAAATTAAAAAAGTATAAATTAACATTTTTTGTCATAAATTTGTCGTATTTCTATTATTGGATCAAATATATATTATTTGATGTTGCTATATATAAGTATACCTTATCTACATGACAAATATTCTTGTTTTTCATCATCAAAAAATATAAATTTCTCTCAAACTATACGGTAAATTTAGATGAAATTTTATTAAAACGAACTAAATAAATGTTTACTTTGTAACTATAACAATTTTTCAATTTCTGTCTTATATGCAAATATTTCAAATTAAAAGAAAATATCCACATAATAAGATTATGCGTATATATATTTGTCATGTAAAATACTATACATTTAGAATTAAATATCTTCAAAACGGTACGGTAAAAGTCAATGAAATTTTTTCTGGATATTATGAATATAATTAACTTTCGTATGTTTGTATTATAAACTTGTCTTATATTTCATCAAACGCTGGAACCTCCTTAAGCAGTTTAATTTTGCTGGAGTATGTTACACCTCACCTAGTGCACGGAGGGTTAATAGAATTAACATTTGCCATTGTATATGGCTTAAAACATAAAAATTGCATAAAAAATTTATGTTTTATGTTATAGGCGTTCATTCTGACTATTCTGCTCCTCTTCATCACCTTCCTGACGATAGCAGGTAACGCTACAATCTGCTTCATCATCATATATTTTAAAAGATTTCGACGCTCTAACTATTTGGTGACCAGCTTGGCGGTGAGCGATTTGCTGGTCGGTGTAGTAGTGATGCCACCGGCCATAATTTATCAAGTATCAGGCGACTGGTACTTCGGTTCCATCTTATGTCACATTTGGCTCAGCGCCGACGTGCTCAACTGCACTGCCAGTATCTTCAATCTTTGCATGGTTTCCATAGACCGGTGAGTTAATCATCAGCGACTAATCGATATCCGAAAGATTTGTCGAGCCCGTCATGACCCGAGATCGGATTTTCACGAAAATTGAAATCGTGTTACAGGTAGTCGATTAATGCTTTTTGTCTACATATATGTTCTAAATAACATAATATAACACGTTTGACGCTATGAAAAGACAAATTGGCGCTTGATCAACTTATAAAGGTACTAGTCGCTGTCGACAACTTCAGTTAAATAACATTGACTAGTTATTCCTGCGTTGGTTAAAATTATAAAATTAAAGCTTTTGACCTCTCACTTATCACTCTTATCTCGCATTGTGTAAAGCGAAAAAATGTAATAAAAATAAAATTCTTGCAAATCATTTTTAAATAGAAATATTTTTTAATAAAATAACAATCAATAGAGTATAGACTTATCACGAGACACATATCGTGTTTCGGCGCTAAAGAGGATGTGCGCCGGACCGGATAAAATATTCCAAAATTATTCTTTTTTATGTTCGAGTTAAGTCATATATTTTACACTAAAAAAAAGTTCTGCCCTTTAGTAATAGCCTCTTGATTTCTAGAGGACTTTCCTCTCTGAAATTCGACCTGAAGAAGATACTCTAAAAGAGGAATATCGTATAATTCGTGATCATAGTCTTAATCATAGTACATGCGTCCACTTTTTTATAGATGAATATGCTTTGGGTAAGATTTTTTATTATTTTTATTATTTTATTATTTATATTTATTTTATTTCCGATCTAATTTTTGGGTCGAAAGTGATTTAAAGGAAGTCAAGATGCTTACAAGGAACTCTCACAAAGTGCACAATAGCTACAGCATAGAGAAAATTATTCAAGCATCTTGACTTCCTTTGGATCACTTTGCACCCAAAAACTAGAGAAAATGTTAAGAAGAATCCTCAACTTACTAGTAGAATATTTTTTCTGGTGTATTTCTGTTCATTTACATTATTCATTTACACAGTTGTCATGATTGTAGACATTTTTTTTTTACTTCTAGTTCTACATAATTCATTTCCAGATATATGGTTACTTATTAATTAATAAAACCAAAGAAGAGGGAATTTTCGTTATATAGTTTACAATTCAGATTTATCAATCGTAAATGTTGTTTTATTGAGACGTATATCTATTTTAATATATCTTACAAAAATTTTTATTATGTATTTTCCAGTTTAACATCACAATCTGAGATAGTAATAGGTGAACAACAGCTTTTATAGTACAAGAAAAACCAATTGAATAGTTAAACGGTTAAATTAATGTCGAGCGAAGTTGATACATTCCCAGTTCGTAATGCATTATTGAAAGCTCGATACAGATATTGAGTAAAACCGTTCGTTTCTTTATTTCCCGCGTGTATTGTCTCGATTAAACCTTTTTCCATTCTAAAAATAATCTCTAGAAAATCTTAAATTATTCTTTAATACTAACGTAAATTAATCTTTTATTAAATTCATAAATTTTCAGTAGAAAATTGTCCAATCGAAAGGATAAATAATTAGGTCTTTCAGATAACTATTTCCTTCAAATACAAGCGATTAATTAAATAATCCATTTAATTGATTTGTTTAATTTTATTTCTATTATATTCTAGTTCTATTTGTTCCTGTAATCGGAAACATCATTCGGATACACGGGTTTCAATCTTGAGCCGAGTTTAATGTACATTATTCTACTTACACAAATACATGCAGTTGAGATTCTCTCTCTAATATTTTTCCATTGTCATAATTTATAACGAATTTTTTTTGCTTTCTTGTATTTTATCTTGTAAACAACTAAAATAATACGAAATCAGAGAGCAAAACAATAATATAATCGTTTCACCGTTTGTCGGATTCAAACACGTAGTTGTTTCCGTGAATATAACGCCGCGATGTTTCTCAATCTTGCTCTCGCTATTTGAACGTGCTCGTTTTCGTTAATTGGTCGAGCACAAACTCCGACTCTTCGTGAAACTTTAACGAGCTTTACAGCGTCGGAGGAGTTGTTGATACACATCGGGAACACAAAGGCAAACGAGGAAGCAAAAACAAATATCAGGCTACCAGCGTTGGTATTGCTTTTTTTTTTAATTAACCAGCCATTATAAAAACCCAATTTCCAATCTATTTCATTTCCGTATCAAATTAGCCAATTAAATTATATAAATGCACGGGACTCTTGACATTCTCATTTTTCTTTTTTTGTATTAAAGATTCTGGCTGATCATGAAACCGCTAAAATATGAAACGAAGAGGACGAAGCTACGGATGTCACTGTACATCGCCATCATTTGGTCTCTAGCCATGTGCATTAGTTTGCCGCCCCTTTTAACGATGGGAAACGAGTATGAGGAAATACAAAACGGGCCCACGGTCTGCGCGCTTTACCAGCATTTTATCTACCAAATCTACGCGATCATAGGGAGCTTCTACATTCCACTCCTCGTCATTATTCCAGTCAGTATATCAACTTAAATATGTTTACGCAGCAAAATAGTTTAATTTAAAATAATTTATAATACTATTAATAATTTATATTACTAATTTATGTTGCTATTTATTTTTCTGTGTATACTTTTCTTTTTATTAAATTCTTAAGTAGGTATAATACGTGTGTTAATGTGTATAATTGTAGATCTAGATAATTTAAAACAATTTAAATATTTTAAAAATATGTTAGCATATATACTGTCGGCATACATTGTTTCAGATCACAAACAAAATTTAAAAATATTCCGATAAAACATTACTTAAAAGTTTGACTCATAATATTTTTCAATATTTTTTCTTAATCTGAATATAAATACACATTATAAATACAATTTAGTTCAATTTAATAAACATAGCATTATTTAATTTTAAGAAAATGGATTAGTGAGATTAGCCATAAAGCTTATTTTTTTTAAATTAAAAAGTAGAAAGATTCCCAGAAATGATCAACAATTCAGATATAATAGGCTAGTGGGAATCAGCGCGGTAATTATTCCGTAAAATCGTAAATTTTAGTAATTAACACAAGTATATTTTATAAATATATTTTTATAAGTATATTTTCACACGTTTCGGCCATCCTTCTGGCCATCTGCAGTGGTACATATGTATATTAACGAAATAGTCACAAAATCAGTATAATAGAGACCATATTTCCAACGTGTTTCAATTTATAATAACTGAGGATAACATGTATCGATCGTTCAGTACATTACAAAATTAGTTCTTTAACTTGGTCATTGTGAAAAACGTTGAAAAAGAGAAAAACTCACTGAGGTCATCACATTTTAAGAAAATAATGAGTGTTAAAAGTCGATTGTACTTCCAAGAGTCAAGACTTTTTTTTAAATATTAAGTGGACTATTTTAAAAGATAGGTGGACAAGTCTTTTATTAGAAAAAATATATAAACTTGTAGCTAGATTATAGAATAAGCTAGAAAGATAAGGTAATTAGAAGGGTGGTTAATTTGACGAAAAAAAAAATATAATCTTTTTTAATGCTTTTGCACAAACAGTGAAATCCACTTCAAAGACGTAAAGTCATGTTGATATATGGTGGTAGAGTAAAATTAACTATAACAAAAGTAGTTATAAATAATGATGATATTTCTAAAAAAATAATCTTTAAAACAATGTTCAAGATTTAGAAAATATTTGGCAATAATACGTTAATAATATGTTGTAAAACTCATATAAGACCGTTTAGAGCGCAATATATCGAACAATTAATTTAAAAAAAAAAATGTATTATTTGCTGGTTACATGGGCGACCAGAACCGGATAAAATCGAAGCAAAGAGTAAGGAGGAGGAAAAGGTGGGAAACAGATCATGTGACAAGAGAGGTTGAGGTGAAATCGCTAGGAAGGGATAAGTGGTTTACTACAGGAAGATAAGCTTTATGAAGAAGATCCATATCATATCACTTTATCTGTTTAAGCCGTAATGCTGTCTTTTCAAGTGAATCATCTCAGATATGATTTTTTTATTGTACAATGGTTTATTACTTAAAATTTTAAAATTGTTTTATTTAAAATCGAAAACTAATTATTATTATTATTATTATTATTACATTATTTTACACAGCAAAATTTTGATAATATATAGACGTAATAATTTAATTTAATTTTACCGATAACTATAAATCTTAATTGTCCATTTTTGTATGGTATTAAACTTTCTCGGAACGAGAGCGTGTCTGGCTAGAAAGAAAGTCTATATGCTAAAACACTCCGTATATGCAATAAAACACTTTTATTTAGACTTACAATAGAAAGCAAACTTTTGATATAGAATACACGTGAGAAAAATGGATACAGAGGAGCGGGCGTACGTGCGCGCTGAGGCACTGGCAATGAAGCAGAGAACAGTAAAAAAAAAAAAAAAGAAAAATTCAGCAAGCTTTTTAAAAGCTTCCATTATTCACTCAGGACCGTGCGCGCGCATGGTTCGATGTGTAGGCATATTTATGTCGGTCTGTGTTACGAAACTATATAATGAAATAAAAAACTGAACGCGCAGAATTTAATATTTAATATATGAGTCTTGAGGCCCTTATAGTAACAGAACTTTCCTAAAATAAAAGATTATTGTTAGAAAATAAAAATATTTTGTAAACACAATTAAGTCGACGATGTTTCGATTTCGGAGATATACTCTTTGGAATATTGAACATATTAGCAAATTTTGACTTGAAATATAAAATATTTTAAACAATAGTCAGAATGAGAACCCAAAGACGATCAAAATATAGGTGTCAGTTAATATTTAATATAATTAACTATATGATTTTTACATAGGTATTAGGGCTGGTGATTTGCTTCGAAGGCTTCGACATTAAACTTCGAAGCTTCGGCATTAAAATCTTCAAATTCTTTCGAAGCTTCGAAGTTTAAGGTGCCTTCGAAGTTTCGAAGTTTTAAATTAACTTTGAAGCTTCGAAATTTCGAAATTTCGAAAAATACATTCGTGCAAATGATAAATTTATTTAAAAAATTTACAAATATTGTAAATAAAAAGAATTAATATATAGGTATATATACGAAATTGTTCCTAAAAAATTTGAAAGTATTATAACCTAAAATGTTACAAATTACTAATTAAACTGGATACATGTGTAAATAAAGAAAGATAATAATCAATAAAATAAGCAAACATACAAAAAGATATTCTTCCGATCATACAACATTCCAATGTTGTCTACAGAATAAACTGTTTGCATTGCGACGCATCATACGTAGGACAGACGGGCAGACTACTAAAACAACGAATTTCAGAACATAAAAATCATATTAATAGAAACACTACTCAATCCTCTGTTATAACAGAACATCGCCTAAATTGCTCATATGACTTCGATTGGGACAATATCGTTATCTTGGATGAAGAAGCTCATTTAAAAAAACGCCTCATTTCAGAAATAATACGTATTAAAAAACAATCCAATGGTCTAAATCTACAAAGCGACACCGAGGTTCTTGATCCATGCTATTTTGATATCATTAACGCGCTTTCAAAACTAATTCGCACAAGTCCGTCTCTTTGTATGTGGCGCTCTATAATACGACAAAAGGACACCTATATTATTATTACCACACGTGGTTTCCCTCACTTTGTCTGTAAAGTTATGACAAGACACATCTTCGGACACGTTATACTTATAATCACTTACTTCGGACGTTTAATCTTCTTGACCATTTTATGTAAGTTTATATTTCCAATTTATTATCCGACTTATTCAGTCAATTCTCTATCTAATCATCACAATCACATTGTTAATTTAAATAAATTCATATTCTTATACTCCTTTGTTAAATTAACACATAACATATTCGCGCGGTGTTCTCAAATCAGAGCTACGACATAATAAAGGTCAGGAGGAGGCTCTTTCACACAAAAAAACCTGGTGAACGATGGAGATTAAAAAACTTCCTCACACCAACATCGGACTTATAAATTAATCTTTGACTATGATGTAACTATTATATCCACGTTTTACACTGAAGAGGATCCAAACCTACGGATCGAAACGTACGTAATTGTTTGTACTATATTAATAAAGATGATAGCGCAGTAATATTCGTTTCGGGTTCTTATTGGCATAAATCTCATATTATTTGACTAATTATCACAGAGCCTTAAGAATAAACCTTTGATACTTGTAAGAATAAACCT